AAGCTGACGTTTCGAGGACTCTGTCGGTTAAAACAGAAGCCCAAAATGCAAAACGATCATTGGCTTTCGATCTCAAATGAAGCCAACTCACGAACCTCTTCTGACCCTTCTTGCCCGCGAAATGCAAATCGACTGGCATGTTTTGAGCTGATGATGCATTTAATCGCAACGGATAGAAATAAACGGATTATATTTCTCGCTGTCATTGTTCGGCCATTTGGTCTTTATTGCGTCACACTCTCTCCGGCACAATTCAACATTTCTTAAAGGTTCTAGCGACAACGTGGATGACGTCGTAAACGACGAAGAGCTCAGCTCAGAAAGGTCGGCGTAGGACTGAGGCTGCCTCGAGGACGGCCAGGCAGCGGGGCAACCAAAAAGAGCACACGAGATCACGACAAAAACGATTGACATCTGCGAAAAACGATACGATGTAGCCATCGACACGTAATGAACGGATCAATATATTTGATCAGCCATTGAATGGCTGCTTTCAACAAAAGCGGAGGTGATGATGACATTTGAGGAAGATGCTTACACGTGACGACCAACAAACACAAACATCACGTGCACGCAATGAAGACGCGACACGAATTACTTTCGAGACTGGCATCCAAGTCTCGTACAATGTACAAACAACGCATGCACGACAGGAAATCACAGCGAAATAGGATGTAAAGTGTAAACTAAGAGAGAAAGACAGACTGGCAACAAAAAGCCAACTGCTGCGCAGTGAAGGAATGAGTCATTTGGAAGAAAAACTAGAGACGACGTAAAGACGACGTAAAGACGACGTAGAGACGAAGAAGCTATGAGTAAGAGACATTGAAGACTTAAAGGATACGCGATATTGCATCAACTAAGGAACAGCGTAGAAAGGCCGACAAAGGTAGGACAAAGACACGAATTAGAGACGACGTAGAGACAACGTATAGATAACGTGGAGACAACGTAGAAACGACTTAGAGATGACATAGAGACGAGGTAGATACGGTTTAGAGACATGGGAGACTTGAAGGAGACGCGACACTGCAACAACGAAGTAACGGCGTAGAAGGACCGACAAAGCTAGGACAAAGGCACGACTTATAGTCGACGTACAGACGACGTATAGACGTTATAGAGACGACGTATAGATGTTGTAGAGATGACGTAGAGACGTAGAAACGACGTATAGACGTTGTATAGACGACGTATAGACAACGTATAGACGTTGTAGAGACGACGTATAGACATTGTAGAAACGACGTATAGACGTTGTAGAAACGACGTATAGACGTTGTAGAGACGACGTATAGACGTTATAGAGACGACGTATAGATATTGTAGAGACGACGTAGAGACGTAGA